TCAAGACCTAATTGAACCTGGTCTGTAGTGGCAATATTTCATTTTGGCATTGATTTTTATTCTCCCCCCCCCTTCCCCCCCCTCCCAGCCAGTTGGACCAAGGATATCCCTCCTCAAAACCGGCGGCATCAACACCCCCAACCCATGATCAATGCCCCCCCACATTCCTCCCAACTGAGGCCATTGATCCCTCACAACCTAAATGTTTAAAGTTCAATTTAACAGTTAAGGGGTAAAAGGTCTCCAAAGGGACTCGTTGCCATTGATTATGTGTCAGGGCTGAAACGCTGGGGTTTAAATCACAGCAGAGAAGGGAATAAGACGCCAGGGAGAGGCGGGGGGAGGGGGGGGCTGAAAGCTCTCAGTCATCGCAGGCGTGGATGTTACCCTCACAGAAACACCGGCTCCCCCTCACACACGCGCTCGATCCATCAGTCTCACACTTTTCTCATTGCACAAAGAAGTATTGTTAAAAGCCACTTTTGAAATGAGGATGAACAGAAATGAATAGGTTGGGGGGGCTGAAACAGGGAAATAGTCTTGAAAGAAAGACTTAACAATTTCAGTCATGTTTTGGACCACGCTGAGGGTGGTTCTGATATCAGGCAAGTTCTCGCCGCAGGACAATGTTTCACTGCTGACTTTGAGGTTTAGCAGCTCCTGTACTGAAACTCGAGAGCTGTTCTGTTGTCAGACTGGTTCAGCTCCCGCACCAGATGTGCGCCTTTGCCAGACACTTACGGGGTCACTTTGGCTGACAGCGGGGCTGAGCGTGTGCGCTTCCTTGGGCGAGCCTCAGCCAGCACCCGCTCCTTCACAGTGTCCTCAGCGGCAGTCTAACTTCCTGCCTCCCATCCCCTCTCCCCCTGGACAGAGGTCACAATCAAGGCGCTTAAGGAGAAGATCCGGGAATATGAGCAGACTCTGAAGAGCAAGGCGGAGGACCTGGCTCAGGAGAAGGAGCAGCAGCTTCACAATGACTATGCAGAGAAGGAGAGGTGAGTGCTACCGCCCCCTGCAGGCCTCTTCCGGGCTCCGTCAGGGACTGTGGTGGGGGGAAGGAGCTGTCGCTCAGGCGGACCCTCTGCTCTGCCGCTTGACGTCTCTGTCCTCTGACCGATGACGCGGGGTCCTCTAATGACAGCCCTCATGTCAGCACGCGGAGGGACCCCGAGGCGTCGGCGTCTGTCAGCCGGCAGCGAGCTGCTCCTTCACGCTGAAGGTCAAGTTACCACTGCGTCGGGGTCGGCAGGGTTCGGTGGGGGGGGGGTCCGTCAGCGCAGGAAAAACGTCCTCTGTCATCACCTTAATGAGGGCTCGTTTTCTCGGGATCTGAGAGGGCGGGAAGAAAACTGGGAGAACCATAGAGCGGATGGGGCCCCTATGAGCTGTGGTCAGCGGGCTGGACCAGAACAGGGCTGCGGAGGCTCGAGGCTCAAGATTTATGTCCCAGCAGCTTCTCTGGGTGCCCACCTTCTCATAACCCCCCAAGCACCCACTATATTTCACTAATGGTACCCCCAGCATCATTGTCGTTCGGTGTGGTCTTTGTGCCGTTACATTAATCAGATGTGCTCTGTCCCCTCATCCCGTCCCCACCATCACTAGCCTGGGGATTTCTCCGCCAGTTTACGGTAATCATGTTTACCTACCCATCGGGGGGGGGGGGGTGTGCACTGACAGACATCTTGATTCCACCCTGGCTGTGTGCGGGTGCTGATGCTCAGACCTCACAGTGACTCTGCAGTAAGGAGTTCTACATTCTCTGCATTTACTTTACTTCATGGTTGGAAAAATACGTAAGTTATTTGTAAATTAGGCCACTAATTGCCTAATTTTGTTTGTCAGTCTTTACAACGGTTATGACACGTAACATAATCTACTCTTTCAAAATTAAAAAATGACATACAGTACTTTATAACTTTATAAATTCCTTAGTTTTGTGTTTGGCCCCAACTCGCTGGTGTGTTTTCAATGTGCAAACAATTTGTTTCTAAACCACATTTCCAGCCGCTGTCTCTGCAGCTTCTTCATTCATATTCTAATTTGTCAGTGTAGCTGTCAGTAAAATCGACTTGTTAAACAGGAAAGCAGCAGCTGTGCACGCTGAGCCTCCTGGGGGTGGGGCCGGCTTCCCAGTGAGCCCCGCCCACGTGAAGTCATGCCACCACGCCGTCCGTCCCCGGCCTCGTACCCGGTCTCGTACCCGGCCGCTTCCGCCAGCTCCCTTCCACAGGAATTCTCTTTTGATGAGCCAGGGGCGGCTGGCCGTTCCAAGCCTTTCGGCCTGGGGCTTCCCCGGACCCCTGGCCGGCCCTCAGAGCTCTTCCTGGCAGCGGCCTGCCCGGATCGCTTCAGGGCGGCCTGCCAGTGTGGAGTTGGGGCGGGGCAGGCGCTTTCCCACACGGCACGCCGATTGAGGAAGAGGGCCTCAGCCTGTCCAGCCAAGCGCCTGGCCTCATGCTAGTAAATGCCTTTCCAGTGTAGATCTCCCACAATGCTTTGCTTCACCAGCATGTACAGCGTTTGCCATTTTAACATTTTCCATGGATACAGATCAGAAGGAAGATGAATTGCTGGACATTTTAAGCCCTAACCTGTTTCTTGAATGGGCTGGTTGTTAATGTTAATGAATGAAAGCCACAATATGAATTTAGGGCTGTAACGCATGATAAAGCATAGCGCTTCCCCTTTTGCAGGATTGCTCTGTATGTGTAATGCGGCGTCACTGTGTGGGGGCAGGACACAGTTTGTCTCTGTGCTCTGCGGTTGATGTTCTGAAGTCCTGTTTTGGTAAATGGCTGCAGAACCTCCCCATCTGCACTGAAGGATGATGTGGCAGACAGGACGGATCCCCTAACACTAATAAAGCCGGGTTTAATTTGGGCGCTTTCGCGTAAAGCAGACGAGCGAGTCGCTGGATAGGCTGTGTGTGGAAGGCCCAGCCCGCTGCCTTATTAATATCGCAGACATGCCGTCGTCCACAAATAACAGGCTGATATGTCCACTTTATAGTCTAAAAATAAACTTCGCTTCTGGAAGCGGGGACTCGCAGTGGGGGCCGGACCCACAGCCCAGGACACCTTGCCAAAAGCGACTTGGCCGCTGGGTGTTCGATGGTCCCCCTGCCACTCATTCTGATGCTGTCCCCCCCCTCCCCAGGAAGCTGCAGGAGAGTCAGGAGTCCATGGCTTCTAAGCTGGAGGAGGCCGACCGGAAGGCACAGGCACTACAGAAAGGTAACAGGGGCGCCCCCTGCTGTATTCACGGAGGAGGGCCGGCATAACTGCTGCTGGCAAACCGACAAGGTCTGCGTGCGTGCGTGCGTGCGTGCGTGCGTGCGTACGTGCGTGCGTGCGTGCGTGCGTGCGTGCGTGCGTCTCTATGGGCTCACAGTACCTTAGCAGGCACAAGATGAGAGGTAGGGATGTCACATGACCTCCATCTGAAAGGAGATGCCTGTTTGTCTTTCAGCACTTAAAGAAACTCAGGCTGAGCTCTCCGAACTGAAGACCAAGTACGACAAGGAGTCTGCATTGAAGTAAGTTTCCCCCCCATCCCCCCTTGCCCTCCTTGCCTGCTGGCCAGATGTGCACAGTGAGCACCACGGCGTCTATTCAGGCCCAGTCAGGATTGCACCTGACTGGGATTCCGCATCCCTTAATTATCCAGCTTTCCTTCCAGCCAGGTTTGACGCCGTCGTCTGATGTGTTTATTTTTTTGACGGCTCCCTGATCCTGTGCAGCCGTGGAGCTGCTAATGGCGCAGCGCTCGGCATCCGCCCACCTAGCTGGGGCTGCGCTGGACCCCAGTGTGCAGTAGGGTTAGCTATGGGCTAGCAAGGCGAAGTCAAGCCCATAATCCCTTGTATTTTTTCCAAAAATGGGACCGGGTGTAAAGAAACAAACACCCACCCTGAAGTTTTCTCAGCAGGAGGCTGTGGTGTTGAGCAGCTTGTCCAGTCATGGCTCCTGGGGCCCTGCGTGGGGTGTAGGGCTGTCCCAGTGCCCTGTTTTATGTGGGTGGGGGGAGAGGAGCTCGTCCGGGACCCTGTCTGGGGGGCCCTCCTGGCTGCGAATGGGTTGCAGTTTCCTTGTCTTGGGTTCTATGCAGGAATGCAGATGCCTGCTGAGCTGTAGCCCCCACCGGCGCTGATTTGCTGCCTGCCACCCAGCTCTTGCAGGCTCCTTAATTACAGCTGCAGTGTGTGAAGGCAGGGGGGGGGGGCAGGGGGGTGCAGCCGGGGCTTTGATGTGAACAAGCCCCACATCGTCGTCGGCTGCCTGCTCTGCCCCCACCGCGCAGGAGGCTGCTTGGGGGGGGGGGGGCTCCACCCTCGTTTGTCACCTGCATCCCACTGGCTCTTCCATGCAGCCCTGGCCCTGCCCTCATTTTCTCTGTCCACCCTTCTGTCCAGCATACTCATCCACCCTCTCTCTCCATTCATTTTCATCCCCTCCCATCTCTGGGTCTATCTTCAGACCTTCCGTTTTAACGAGGCCATTTCCTGGCTCCCCCTGCCTGGGTCCCGCAGGCAGGATTTGGCTTGCAGGTTGTGGGGGTGCCCCCCCCCCCCGCAGCCCCGTTGGCCTCTTAGATGTGTAAACGCCCGTCTGCACCTCGTCTGACGGCCTCTCCTAACCAGTCTACCTAATGGCTGTGGTGACAGGTGGTTTGCCGTGAGTCACGCCTCGGCGTCAGCCGGACCGGCAGGGATCCGGAACCGGCCCGCGATCCGCCGCAGGAAGGCAGGGCGTGCAGCAAGCCTTGCTCGCATTTCCTGTGGTTTTACGATCTTTCATTTCCTGTGGAAGCCACAAAGTTTTTGGTACCTGCGAGCGAAGGTTTTGTTGCAATGCGGGGCAGCCTTGTGCGGAATGGGCAGACAGAGTGTGTGTGTGTGTGTGTGTGTGTCTCCCTGTTCCCACATGCTTTGCATACCGAGGCTCGCTCTGTGTGTTTTGCATCTCGTATGTACAGCTCGGCTGTCGGCTAGCGTGGGAGTTGGGGAGGGGGGGGGGTTATCTCCGAGGAGGCCTTGGCGCCAGCCTCTGTCACGTTGCTGGCACACTGGGGCCCTCCCCCAGTCGCTGTGACTTGCCCTGCGTCTGTTCACCACTGTTCTCATTCACACTGAGCCAGCGAAACGGTGCCAGGTGGCGGCTTGGTCCCGCCCAGACAAACATTACTCCATGTGACGGCTGCACTGAAGCCTGCTGCTCTGGGATCAGATCTGAGGGCCTAACTCTTAGCACCCTCCCCCTCCCCTCAGCCAGGCCTTATTCCAGTAAGGTGGTGTAGGGGGGACATCATTATTTACTCCGAGTACAGCGAGCATGTTTGTTGCCGAATGCATTCTGCTCCCTCATCCCAGCAGCGGCGTCTTCCTCAGGCAGATACTGTCAGACATGGTGCGTTAAGATAAGTGATACTCCCTCGTTTATGTGAGGGGGGAGACAGACATGGCATTTTATAACCCCGCACGCTTGTGCATCACAAGTGTAGTGATCTGTAAATCAGAAAGAATCATCATTTATGGTTGAGGATTCTGTAATCTCTCAGTATCCCGGACCTGGTACATTTGGAAGCGGTTTTCCTATTGGCACTGCAGATTTTCAGTCAGAATTCTTTCAAGCTGCCTGATTGCTGCATTACATTGTTCCCCGTCCCCGGTTATTGTGGCGTCGTGAACAGAGACTTCAAAAACTGCAGTCCAACTTCAGATCTCTGGACAAATCTCTGTCTTGTCGACCTGCAATGTAATGCTTCTGGTTTCAGGCCAGAAAATGCCTGTTCAGTTGTTTGTAATAATACATGTCTTTTATCTCTCAGTGGTGCATTCCATAACTATGCTTGAGTTTGTCTGATATATTTAGGTGACGCCTCTCTCAAGTTGAAGGCACCTCGTTTTCGGAGCTTGCCGACCGCTTGCCCAGGTCTCCGGTGACGCGACGTGCTGGGAACATGTACAAGGCAGTGTGCAGGAGAGGGTGTCTGTAGAAGTGAGGGGAGAGCAGCACAGTTTCTGCCGCTTTACAGTCACTAACGAGCGCTCTTTGCTGTAGAGCTCCAGCATGCAGCTGCTTCCGAATTGATCCCTCAGACAAATGTCTTTTTTAATTTATTTATTTTTTTAAATAAAATCTCTCAACTGGGGGCTTTAAACTTCTTTGAGGCGTGCAGCCTTTTTAAGCGAGCAGACGCAGAGGTGCGTGGTATGGAGGGCCGCAGCTTGCTGGTGGGCGGGGCTGCGTGCGGCTCGTCCCGGGGAGCCCCACGATGGTCTGTCACCGAGCGTCCGCGGTGCGATCAGCCGCAACGGGGCCCAGGAGGGAGGCTTGCCTTTTTTATGGCATAAATGAGGGCCTGCATGGAGGTCCCCGTCATTAATACACATGGCTGTAGCCAGGCCCTCCCCCTCGCAGAGAGAGAGAGAGAGAGAGAGAGAGAGAGAGAGGGTGCCTTGTACCTCATCAATGGCCCCTTGTTCTGTCTCCGAGGGCTAATTACGTTTGGGCTGAAGAGCCAATGCTGGAAAACATCTAGCCCCCCCCCCCCACCCCACTGTCTGCTGAGGGCCCCTGAAATGTGGGTTTGGCGGGGGGGGCGGGGGGGCTCCTTTTGCAAGCCCTCCTCACTTTATCCCTCCATCTTGTTTCCTGTCATCTGTCCTCCCAGCTCTCCCCCCCGCCTGTGCTTGTTGTTACTCCTGTTCCATCTTCTCTTCTGCTGCGTGTTTTTCCCGTCCCCCTGTCTAATCTCCCCTCAAGCCTGCCGGAGGAGTGAGGATTGATCCTTTTCGATTTCCCTCAAGCCGCCGGTTTGCAGCGCCGTGTTCATCCTGGCTCAGCCGCGACCCTCATGTTTCCCGTGTTGGTTTAAGACAAACGGGCCTTTCTGTCCCTGAGCCCCTGGCATCTGCCTGGATGTGATGTAACAGCTGTGACGTGTAAAGCGGCCATCCGGGAAGCACCAATGGTTGCCGGCCGCTCGCAGCTGTCTGTGGGTGAAACCGCAAGTCGGACCCAGCTGGCAGCTGCCAGGTCTGTCTGTCTATCCGGTGTTGAGCAGCACTTTCCCGCACGGTGGTAATATCATTTAAAGTGCCTCTGTGGATGCATAACAATGCAGATTCCAAGACGGGGCGACAGTTGTCCTTATGGGGGGGGCTTCCTTCCGGCTGCTGACTCCACATACTGTAGGAATGGTTCTGGGGCTGTCTGCGTCAGCAGAGTGGTACCAGGTCCACCACAGACGGGCCCCCTCAAACCCGTAGCCGGTGTTCCCGGCGAGCCACAGCTCGTCTGTGGTTTAATGTCAGAAGCAGCAGTGTCAGCATACCGGGGGGGGGTGTGGCCTGAGCCCGTGTCAAAAGAGAGGGTGTCGCATATAGCCAGCCACTAATGAGCAGGCAGAGAGGCGGGGGCCCTCTCATCACCTTTGATCTCAGTTCCTTGTCACCTTTGCCCACCGCGTGACGGGTGACTTTTTTTTCCCGCCGTGTTCTCTGTGTGCGGCTGCCTGTGGATTTCACATTGCGGCGCGTTTAAATCGGGTCCTTCGGGGGGGGGCCTGCCGGCAGGTGTGGGGGCTCAATTCCGTCACCTGCATTAATGACTGTAGCTGTTAATGCCGGCTGTCAGGCAGCCCGCAGTCTTTCCTCTTTTCCTCTCCTTTAGGTTCCTTTTTCCTTTTGTTTTTCAACCCCCCCCCCCCAAAACTCCCCTTATCTTCCTTCCTCCATCCACCCCCCCCTTAGCCTCACTTCCTGCCCTTCCTCCACACCGGGGGGGCGGCAAGGGGGTTGGCTGTGAAGGTTTCTGCTTCACTTTAACAGGGACTATGCTGGGTGATAATTCCTCTCATGTTTTGATTGCGTCCCCCCCCCCGCACCATGCACCGCTGCTCACTGAGGAATGTTGATGTTTGCAGAGGCCTGCAACACTCCATATTCTGGCGCCATCGCTGTCCAGCACCTTTACTGCTGACCCCTACATTGCCCCCCCCCACCCCTCCTCCCTCTTCAACAACCCCCCACCCCATCCCCCTCCCCAGAGTGCCTCAGGCCTTTGGCTTCCAGCTAGCTGCCGTGCTCCTCCCCCTGATGTGAAACTTTAATGCGCTGCTGTGTGCTATAGTCCCTGCTCGGTGCGCCCCCCCCCCCCCCGGGAGGTGGCCAGCCTTAACACTGCATGCCCTTAATCTGCAGCCACCACTGCCGCGCTCATTACAGGCTCATACAGTCCGGATGCTGTTTCTCGTGTGGAGTTGTTTTTCCCACCTTCTGCGCCCTCTGAATGACACGCATGAAGTTTGATTTAGGCAACACACATGCCCTCAGTGAACTCTGGGTATTAATATCATTAACAAGGTCGTTTCTGAGCTAGTCTTGCAAGCATTGAAAGATTTTCTCCTTTTTTGATGTAGGATTTCTTCCTGTTTCTTAGCTGATTAAGGCCCCAGGGTGCCTGTAAACCCAGGCTAGCCTGACGTTCTTTTAACTTTGCTGACCAGTTCTTCTTTTCCAATGTACCCCTGAAG